CCCAATTAGGCCCCTGGACTATTTGAGTAGAATTATTTGCACCCTAAAAACTTATGTGGCAGAGTATGCGTATTTCACTCTCTCAAAGAGAGTGAGGAGTAGATTTTTAAATTAAATATATATTTTCTTGCTTTTTCTTTGTCTTTTTCTATAATATTCTTTTCTTCTCTTCTTTACATCAGGTTCCCCTCGAACACACCATACGTCGACATCTTCTGGCATTTCTTCTTCCATATTTTTGCTTACGTTCTTTCATTCTTTTTCTCTCCCTAACAACAACAACAAACCCAGTGTAATCCCATAAGTGGAGTCTGGGGAGGATAGTGTGTACGCAGACCTTACCCCTACCTTATAAAGATAGAAAGGTTGTTTCCGATAGACACTCGGCTTTCTTTTTCTCTCGCTCTCACACACAAATCACACTTTCAAGAAAAAAAATTATACATATGTAAAGCANTAAGGCCAATAAGTTGAATTGAACATAGAAGTTTGCCTCTTTCTTTAAATAACCGTGGTGTTGGGATCAGCTTGCGCTTGCCCTCAACTAATTCCACGGGATACTTGTTACCTTCTACCAGCACAAATACTGAGTAACTCTATCCACCAAAGCTTGGACATATGGGAAGAAATCACCTACTATTTTTGTCTCCGCTGGGATTTGAATGTGAGACCTTATAGTTCTCAACCCACTTTATTGACCACTAGGCCACACCCTTGGGTGTGACCATAAATGTTTGTCTGACACACCAACTCATCACACAGCATGTATATGCACAACCACAGATTTTTATGGGCTTAACTTTACAAATATGTATTATACTAGTAACTAATAAGCTCCCAAATACTTGTACCTATTTGGGAAGATATTCATATAGCAGAATATCATGCAGGTGATCAAATTCAGATGATTGAAATCCTGGTCAAGCAACACACCTTAGGCAGCACAATGCATTGCGAACGAGATTTGGCAGTATCAAAACCATGAGAAGCAGCAGCAGCAACTGAACCAGAGAATCCAGCCGCAAGACTAACAGCTAAAGGAGACAATGGGCCAATTTCTTCAGCAGATCTGAATGAAAACAAGTCGATGGTTAAGAAGAATCAAAGTTATTTAAAACTGAATAGGGCATGTATCTATCTTGGAATAATGAAGTGACAAGACAGACACATGGCATATAGAAGTTTTATTCTAGGGGAAGGGAAAAGGCATAAGTACCCTCTGAACTATGATCATATTTCCAACTACACACCTTTTCTTTAACCTCCCCCCCACCC